CTCTTTTTTACTCTGTTCTTGACACAGTATCAACCCTGTATAGATTAAATTTTCACAGTACAACAACAGTAAAAAGGGATGGACAATGAATTTAACCTGAGCTCTACTCTTCATTAACTTCTGGGAAGTCAGTTGGCATTCCCAAGCCTCAGTTCCTCATCTAAGAAAGAAAGTGATGATGACACTTCACCCAGCTGTTGTGAAGATTCAGTTCAGTAACGCCTGTAACATGACAGCACAGAACCTGGCACAGTGAGTGGTAACTATTATTAGTAGTTTTTATAATCTGTGACAATTACTTTTTTCTCTGCTGAGAACTCAGACCTGACACTAATTTACAAATGTTCATTTCCAAATATACGTGTATGTTTGCTATAAAAATATTTTAAAATTTTTATTTAATATTCCCATTTAATAACCTTATTGTTTTTAAACCCTATGTTTTTTTCCTTAGTACCTTGAAGAGTCAAGAGCTTTCAAATTAATACATATTCACAGTACAGCAAAGAATTTTTAAAAAGAACATAAAACTATGGCCTTAAATCTGTCCTGAATTTATAAAATATGTCATATAAGATGTACAAATATAAATATGTGAATAAAAGTATTCATATTCGGAGGAGAACAGTGTTTGTAATGACACTATATGAATGATTCTGCTACCTGCCTTACACAGCTAGTAGCTAAGTAATATCTTCCTCAAACCTCACTCTGGTTCCACAAGTTTTGATGTTTACCTTCAGATTTAGAATACATTAGTCAAAACACTGACACTCTTTTATAAGAGTTTCTGGTTACAAAAGAAAAATCCACCTTAACCTTAGTATAACTCAAGGCATTTAAACAATTCTCCATGGCATTCTAAAGCCTCTGTGTTATCCAATGAATGGTATTTTAGTAAAACAATGAAACCTTCCATGTTCCTTCTTATTACCATCCATCATCCCACAGCTGTAAAATCGCCAACTGCTGGGAAAAAGGGAACTAAATCAGTCCTCCCCGGCTGCACAGAGAAAAAGCTTAAGATCTCCCTGCCACATCATTTCTGGCATCCCAGCAGGCAGGAATCAAAGTACCATTTTCCTTGACACAACACCTCTAGCTAGTCTTATAAACATGTCAAAAAGTACCTACTCTATGATTTATTCTTGTTATTATTGGGAAAGAAGTGTCTGTGAGAGAAGTGGTAGAAAAGGCAATGCAAGATAACAATAGTGATGTAAATAGTGGCTACCGAATGTAAGGCAGTGGCTGCCCTGTTTTTAAGCCTCACAATAACTGTGACATTGATCTCATTTCCTTAGTGAAAATTTTCTTGCTGCAGTGGTGGCAGACTCGCTGTTTTTCATAGAACATGATTTTTATAATATGATCTATTGATAAAACCCCTCAGCTATGGGAGGACAAACAGGCTGACCATTAATGTCAGAACTAGGGCTTCTCACGAAGCCTCTAATATGGGCTATTTCTCGTGCCAGATCCACAAAGGAACCCCCAACACCATATAGTGCTTCCTTTAAAGCTTCCACAATATTACAGTGGAGTGATGGGCAGGTTTTGGGAGGCTCTGACTTTCTTACACATGTAAATTCTTAGAGAAAGGCTGTAAATATAAGGATGGGGAAGAATTTAGAGCCACAAAGCCACCAATGTTTCTGCCCCCATTTCACTATATGTTCTTTTTTGAAAAACACTGCTGAGTGTTAGCACTGTGGTTGAAAGAAATGATTCACTTACCACCATCCACCCTCCTTTATCCCCCTTGTGAATCTCATAAGCTCCGAGGCTGAAGACAAGAAGGTTTTCTCTGTTCTCTCTCATCAGGAAACTCACTGAATGACCTGGTGGCTGTCAAGAGAGAGGCAGCCAGTTGCCTGTGTCCCCTGCCACAGAGGTGTGGCTGACTCTGTCATGTAGACGGAGAATTCCTTGGTTGGCCACTCCACCTACTTAGGTGGGTGTTAGACCTGTGAAATGAAACTTGCCAGTTTGGTCATGTGCCGCCCATTGTGGGAGAAGCCCTCTTTCTTGAGGCTAGAGGCAAGTTGAATCTGAGCACTGATGACACAGTTGGCCATGCCATTCATTTCTTGCAACCATTGTTTTTTGCAAATCTGGGCTGGTCTCAGGAATTAAGGCAACCAGGACCCCACTGAGAATACATGTGATGGACCAAAATCTGCAAGAGCAATTTCACCCTTTTGGCGCATCAGCCTCTCTGCAGAACCACAGTGCAGGCTCCCACACGCTCACATGTACGCACAGGACTGGCAGAGACAAACACCAATGCCCTCTTTAATGAAGTGTTGCACGGCCCAGACACCCCTGTTACCATCACCACTGGCAAAGCCCTTGATCATCTGGCTGAAGACTATACAGAATGGTTGTATTTTAAGACTTCTGCCATCAGCAGACCACGTCAGAAAGGGGCACGGGGTGGCTCTGCCTTGCTGTTGGTACCGATAACACCTCTCTTCAAATCTGGGTATCAAGGCCCGCAGGGGCACTGGGGCAGCAGCGGCTGAGGCTGAAGCACTGGGAACTGATGATGTCCCTACCAGCTAGTATATAAAGATGCTTGCTTTTATTGAGGGGCCACAGCTAGGCCTGGGTGTCCTTGCCCTCAGAAGCACAGAGGGATCCCTCTGGAGAGTCACAATGGTCAGGTAGCCTGGGGGGCTGGTATGATTGGTCTTCAGCTTGCAGCTTACCAGGCTTCATATCTTGACCAGCTTGTCCCAGGCACAGGAGACAGTGACGGAATTGCTGCTATTGAGTGAGAAGCATATGCAAGACACCCCTCTCAGTGGCTTTCAGTGGCTCTCACTCTGGACAGTGTATTTGCAAATACCCAGAATATATAATAAAAACTTCTGGGATTTTCTCCTCAGCCTTAGAAAGTGTTGCTAGAATTGGCAAAGGATTGGCAGAGATAATCTGCCAACTTGAAAGTTTATATTCAGAAGATTTACTTAAAAAAAAAAAAGAAAGAAGCTATTGCTTTTAAATGCATACCCATGAATGCTTTATAAGGCTCTTGAGAATTCTGGTAATTTAGTTTGGTTGATCAGTCATTCAGGTTGTCTCACAGGTCATGAGACAAGTCAAATGTCCTATTCTGTGCCACTCATGTTTTGGAAGCCTCTAAGCTTGTATCCATCCTCAGGACTCTACCCTGAAATTATCCTGTAAGGCTCAGGTTACAAGAGACAGTTGAAGAAACAAGAGGCCAGTATTGTCGTCTGTTTGGGCTGCTAGAAGAAAGTACTATAGACTGGGTGGATTATAAAGGACAGAGATTTACTTCTCAGAGTTTTGAAGGCTGAACGTCTGAGATCCGGGTGTCAGCCTGGTCAGGTACTGGTCAGGTACTGGAAGAAAGCCTTCTTCTAGGTCGCAGACCACTCGCTGTGTCCTCATAGGATACAAGGAGAGCTAGCAAGCTGTCTGGCCTCTCCTTTTCAGAGCACTAGACCCATTCATGAGGGCTCCACTCTCGTGATCTAATCACGTCCCAAAGGCTCCATCTCCATGTACCATCACACTGGGACTAAGGGCTCAACAGAAAAATTTAGGGGTGGGGACACAAACATTCAGTACATTGCAGCCTGCAGGCTCTCCTTTCACTAATGCACCTAAATATCATGGCAGAAAGTTATTAACATCTTACCTTATACAAACTTGTTTTCAGTCCAGTTGGTTGACATGTCTCTAGAATATCTAGGTTACTTTCTATTTGACTAATACCTGAACCCAATAACTTAGGTATAAAAAATTATTTATTTGAAACAATATTGAATCAAAAACCCCATTAATGAGTAGAAACTAGTAGATGTTTGTTGAATGAATATTGCACTTTCTTCCACTTGGGAGCCCCAGCTTCACTTCGAAGTAATAGCATTATTTCTATTCTTGTTACTTCCTGGCTGCTGTCCTAATCATTTCAGTTACCCCAATGCCACTCTGCACCCCGCTAACTCAGCCGAGCTAACAAGATTATCAGGCTGGCTAACTGGTTCATGGTCCCTGGTGACCCTATCCAGAAAAAAGACAAATGTGAAAAAAAAAAAAAAGACAAATGTGTATGTCAGCTCTTTAGGTAACAAAGTAAGGATAATCTGAAGCCTTTTAAATTTATTTATTTTTGATTTGGTTTGATTAGAAGTATCAGAAGAAAATGTAGAAAGACTCAGAATGCTCTCCTATTTCCCTATTCTCCATCCATACCTCCACATGAATCCCAAACATGGTACTTGCTGTCTGAGACACTCTGTGCCTTTTTTGGAAGAAGATGAGGTGAGGACAAACGGTGACAGTAATTTACATCCTCTCCCTAGTCCTATGTTGCTATCATTCAACCAAATACCTGCTGAACACCTTCTTCTGGCTCAGGTAACACACTAGATCCTGAGGAGACACAGATCACACAGTGTCTGTCCTCCTGGGAGATGCAAATAAGTAAAAGTTCACAATGAGAACTGTGAGAGAATGAAAAGTGTGAGCCTAGAGGAAAGGGCATTTAAATCTGCCTTAGGGTGAGAGGCCACTCTTAAGAGAGGAAAATTATCCGTTCTACTGGCTGGCAAGCAGAAGATACCAGGAATTAAACTAAGGTTCTTGGTTTTTACACTCTAAAATCTATTTAACAATGGTGCCCATTTACTGTCAAAGCTGGTTTCTATGTGATAACGCCACAAATATGATTATGCTAACCTCTCCTACTGCTCACCTTACATTTTATATATGAAGGTCACGGCACTAAAATCTGGCATGAATGTTTTCCAAGGAACCTGGTTATCATGCTGGACTATTTATAATTCAAAAATGGAAGATTAAAAAAAAAACAAAAACAAGTTAATAGGCACATCCTGGGATGGCCATGGCGTTGGAGGAGTGAATCATCAGAGAAAGAAAGCAGCACTATGCAAGCACGGACTCACGGTAAGAGAACTCAGACTGTCTAAGGGCTTTCTTCCTGAGTGAGGACTTGTTTTACATACCACGTGGAATGCGCCAGGGGCCTTGACAGGTCTGAAGCCATCAACAGGTATGCACTGGTCAGCATGGCCGTTACAGAAGCAGCTGCCCTTAACAATGAAATCATAGACTGCATAGTGTGTAAAATGCTGAGGCTTTGCATTCAGGTGGTTTCTCTGACAGGGACAAGACTGTCGTTTCAGCAGCTGCACACGGAGGTTGGTGATCTTCAGCTGCTCCTGCACCTTGGCACTGTAAGGGTTCTCATCATTCGGTGGTGACAAAGCTCTGAAAATAACCTGTAAAGAAAAAGAAAACGCGGTGCATATACAGGACTGTGTGCAAACCCTGAAGTCTTTGGCCCTGTGTAGTCCTGCTTTGCTTTATACCTTTCGTCAGCTACAAGTGATAAGGTAAGAGGGTTTCAGACCTTGATCCCTTCTGGGGAAGAGCTGCCCTATTATTCCAAGGAACAGATGTGCTGTCTGTTTGGATGCAGAAGTATAAACTTAGTAATAGCAGAAACCCGACTCTTGGGATAAAGGCAGCCATACAAAGATCTTGGGAGAAGAGCTTTCCAGGCAGAAGGAACAGCAGTTTAAAGGCCTTTAAGTAGAATCAAGCTTGGCTTATTCAAGGAAGAACAACAAGATCAGTGTGACCAGGGTCCAGGGGACAAGGGGACAGTGTTCAGAGAGGAGGACAGAGCCCTTGTATGACAGATTATGAATAGAGTGCCCTTTAAAGGCCATGGTAGAGTCATTCTAATCGTAGTGGGAAGCCACTGGAAGGTAATAGGCAGAGAAGTGATGTGATCTGATTTGCATTTCTAAATAAGGGAACTTACTTTTGTGAGGAGGGTAGATTACAAAGAGTAAAGAACAGAAGCAAGACCAGTTAGGGAGAGACTGCAAAATAATAAAGATCCAGGCACTTATATTTCTAAATGAGGTATGACCCTTTCAAAGGCTCATCAGTTATTAACTGAGGCCACTTCCACTAGAAATATTTTTGGTCCTCCTTTTCTGGATCCGCCTGGCAAGCTTGTGGCATTTATATATTTGGAATATTTTTGTGTGTTAGTCACTCAGTCATGTTCAACTCTGCAACCCCATGGACTAGAGCCCACCAGGCACCTCTGTGCATGGAATTCTCCAGGCAAGAATATAGGAGTGAGTTGCCATTTCCTTCTCCAGGGAATCTTCCCAACCCAGGGATTGAACTCAGGTCTCCTGCATTGCAGGCAGATGCTTTACCATCTGAACTTCTAGGGAAGCCCGAAAGTGAAGTCACTCAGTTGTGTCTGACTCTCTATGATCTCATGGATTGTAGCCTTCCAGGCTCCTCCATCCAGGGGATTTTCCAAGCAAGAATACTGGAGTGGGTTGCCATTTCTTTCTCCAGGGGATCTTCCCAACCCAGGGATCAGACCCAGGTCTCCCCTCATTGCAGGCAGACTCTTTACCATCTAAGCCACCAGAGAAGCCACAATATTTTTACTGGTAGTAAATATACAACCCTTTGAGAATGGATCTGATTTCTGAAATTAGTCAAAAGTCATTTAAATCCGAGGAAGGCAATGGCAACCCACTCCAGTACTCTTGCCTGGAAAATCCCATGGACGGAGGAGCCTGGTAGGCTGCCGTCCATGGGGTGGCTAGGAGTCGGACACGACTGAGCAACTTCACTTTCACTTTTCACTTTCATGCATTGGAGAAGGAAATGGCAACCCACTCCAGTATTCTTGCCTGGAGAATCCCAGGGACGGGGGGAGCCTGGTGGGCTGCCATCTACGGGGTCGCACAGAGTCAGACACGACTGAAGCAACTTAGCAGCAGAAGCAGCATTTAAATCCAATGCAGTAAGTAATAAACCTGATTGAGTTAGTTAACAGCACTTTTTGTGAAAAGCAAAATATAATTAAGTAATGATTTTTTTTTTTATTGTTTAGGTTGTCGATAGATTTTATAGGCAATTTAAGTTGTTAGGAGGGAGGGAGGAAAACCAGAGGGAGGAAGGCTCAAAAGGGCATGTGAAGGAGTCTATACCTTATACTGGGGTAATAACATGGGCCTTGGGGTGGGGTGGTGTAAAATTCTCTAGTGGACCTGTTACTTTGAAGTAGAGACTGGTGGAGAAGGAAATTACTGCCTGTTGAAAACAGTGAATATAAATATAACGTAATATGAAGCATTATTAGAAGGAAGGCAACACTCATGCATGAGTTGCCTCAACACTCATGATGTATTACACCTCATCATGCAGTTAAACAAAACAGACAAAACCTCAATTAATCTCATTGATTTATATAGTAAGAAACAGGAAGCTCCTTTGAAAAATTCTTAAGCATCTCTTGGCTTTAAAAGAAAAATGTGAAAACCCTATTTACAAGAAAACAGAAATATTTTGATAACCACATACAGCCATCCCTTGGTATTCAAGAGGACGGGTTCCAGCACTGCCCCCGCCCCAATACCAAACTCTGCAAATGCTCAAGTCCCTTAGTTGGTCCTCCAGATCCACAGATATGAAGCCTGTGGATACAGAGAGCTGACTGTAGTATGAAAGAAATAATTAAAAAGTAAGCTTTGGATAAACTCTCATTTAGAAAGAATGTATGTAAAAGTGACTTCCCAGGAAAAAAAAATTTCCTCAAGGAATACTTTATAGAAAAATTTCATTTTACAAATTATTTTGCATGGAAAGTATGAAAAGACAAGACTCTACTGTGTAGGATCAGATTTTTAGGTCTACTGGTACAGAACTGTACTCAGTGAAATATAACTTAAGGCAAGGTTCAATGAACACTAGGCGTCCTTTAGCCAATTCTCCATCCAGCACCCAGAGTGATTCTTCATTAACAGAAATTGGGCCATGTCCCTTGCTTAAATCCACACCCACCCAGAGACCTCCTATTTCTGTCAGAATAAAATACAAAATCCTTATAATGGCCCTGCTTTATTTTTTATCCTAGTGCTATTATTACCTGCACATTATAGTTGTTTAATGTTTTACTAGTAGTCTTCCCAATATAGAATATAAACTTTTTGGGGGGGGGGGGGCTGCGCCACAAGGCATACAGAATTTTAGTTCCCTGACCAGGGATCAAACCCATGCCCCCTGCAGCGGTAGCGCGGAGTCTTAGCCACTGGACTGCCAGGGAATTCCAGTTCCCTGGAAGGCGAACTTCTTGAGGGGAGTCACTGATGTATCTCAGGACAGTGCCTGGCACAGAACAGGCCTGCTATTCAATAAATTTTGGGTAAATGAATTGATTAATTATAACATTGTTCTCAGCATTCAAATAACAGGTGAGAATTTCAAATAACTTCCTTTTATAGGGTCATAAACAGACTCACATACTGAATTCATGTCACAGCACCATAAGGGAACAGGTAAGTTATATTAAAGCAATAGTTATAAATAATTAGAATTATGAACCAGTATGTAGCTAATTTTGAACTTGCAAAACTTAAGAAACCTGTGTCTTAAACAAGTCTGTCCCCTTCATTCACATGTAAGGTGGCAGGAAGCAACACAAATTTTTTCAACAAATAATATGTCACCGATTTGAAAGTCAACATAGAACAAATGTATTTTGAGACTTCCCTAGTGGTCCAGTGGGTAAGACTAGTGCTCCCAACGCACGGGGCCTGGTTCCCTTCCTGGTCAGGGAATAGGATCCCACATGCCCCAACTGAAGTTCTTGCACGTCACAATATGTGCTGCAACTAAGACCAGCCACAGCCAAGTAAATAAATATTTTTTTAAAAGAATGAATGTCTTTTTCTTTGAACAGACTAAACAGAACATGATTTTTTATTTCCAATGATTAAAAATTTTTAAAAAGCAGTGACTTCATTATGAGATTTACATAGGGTTTATTTTCCATATGACTCTCAAACACTGGCATTGTTAGACACTTGTGAAGAACTCTTGCTCTAAATAAGATCAGTGACGTGGCTACCTCCCAATTTATTAACCAGTGGTGCAAGGACATGGAAAAGGGTAACCAATGCTAAGTAACGTGTTCCACCGAAAAGTCTTTGCATACTACACTGTCACCCACCCATCCTTCTCCTCAACATTGGTGGCCACTGTTGCTCTCTCTGCTCCTGGCACATTTTCACCCTTGACATTTACCCTAGCTCCCTCCCTCTCCCTCCCCGTGAGAATTGTTCAGCACATGCGAGGCTACAGGAAGATCTGTCAAGGTTTGCAGGAACTCAGAGGCTCTGTGGCTTCCTGAAGCCAGCCTGTGGACGCTGAATGGTGGCTCTGTGCTTGGTGTGCATGACACCCTAGCTGGCACGCTGATATCAGCAGGGAACGGGCACTGTGACCCCCGAGGCTGCGTGCTGGAGAGGAGACAGCAGAGTGCCACAGACACAAAGTGGACGGGAATTTAAACCATGAAATCTTTTTTTCCAGAAAGGAGACTCCTTAATCTGATACCCTGGGAAATGGATCTGCCCTGCACCAGGAAACAAAGAGGGTGCCAATCCAGATGCTTCAAACTTCTGGCAGGTCGCCTTTTGGGTCCCACCCAGTTTTTCTTCAAACATCCACAGAAGAAGCCTGTATGGCACTACTAAAACGAAGGAAGGAACAGTGCAGAAGCTCTCCATATAACATCAGGCTCTGTGTCTTTCTTCCCATCAGGAACTGGGTGTACACAGGGGCCATCGCTGTTCCTCTGTCTGTGATTGCTTCTGAAGATGCACTCCTAACAAGACATCGTTAAAAAGCCAGAGGGGGATGAGGATCCAGCCCATTTCGATGTTTCCAGCTTGTTAGTGATACTGGCCAGGACTTCATGATCTTAGCTTCCCAGCTGACTCAGATGGTAAAGAATCTGCCTGCAATGCAGGGGACCCTGGTTCGATCCCTGGGTTGGGAAGATCCCCTGGAGAAGGGAATGGCTACCCACTCCAGTATTTTTGCCTGGAGAATTCCACGGACAAAGGAGCCTGGTCAGTTACAGTCCATGGGGTTACAAAGAGTTGACACAACTGAGCGACCAGCACTCATGATCTTATCTTTTTAACTAAGAAATTTGATTATGTTTTAGTGATTAAACTATGCTTATTACAGGAAAATCTGCCACTCAAAGTGTAGAAAACATTAAAAACCTACAATTTGATCCACCTGGAAGACAGCCAGGGATGCCAACTTGATAATATTTCTCCATGTGAACTTCTATATGTATACATACAGAACATAATGTACAAACTTTGGCTCAATTTAGCAATACCTTGTGAACATTCTTCCAAATCATTAAAAATAACTCTACATCAGT